AAGAGTGATGGCCTCCAACCTAAGAGCGATGGCCTCCAACCTAAGAGCGATGGTCTCCAACCTACTAGCGACCTAATAGCCTCTGACATGTGGTAATCACTGGTATTCTATAGTCCGTACGGTCTTTTTTGGGCTTCTGGCCCCACCTCCGTTTCGGTTCGGTGGGACTGGGGTGGGTGGTCTTGGGGGTCGAATACCACCGGCGACCGGGTCGGAGATGAAACAGGAGCCCTCCTGATACGACGTATCTCCTTTGATCCCATCGTGGTTTCCATCCAGGCTCATCAGATATCAGAAGTTGGTGATGCTGAGCAACAAGTGGCTCGGCACGTGGCAACAAGTGTTTCAGATTGAAAGAGATGGAATCGCAAGAAGGGGCGCCTGCGACCAAAAGAACATGTTTCCGATATAAAGTCCATGGATCATCATCCAAGGGGGACAGAACCGTCAGACCCGTTTTTTCCCACAAAGGAGAGGAGGTGCTTCCGCGCCCAACCAGAAGCACCTGTTTGCTTCTTACAATTGTTATTTGTGTCATGTCGCGAACTGGGTAAATCCCCCTGGCGGGGGGGTCGATATATATATATATATATATTTAACCAGCCAGGCTTCCTTACAAGCAAATCCAATGGAAGGGCATGCTCGGACGGAACGCTGGAACGCTGGCTCGAATGGAATCCAGTCGGGACTGACCTCCAGACGCAGGGGTCGCAGCTGAGTCGTTGTTTTGGTAAGGTGCCTTGCTACCTTCGTAGCTTCTTGCTCCTTTCGTAGCGATGCACCTTGCTATACTGAGCTGCTACTGACTAGTAAACTTCTTGTTACGAATAGAAATGGACCTGTTACTAGTAGCGTCCTTGCTACTAGTAGCGATGCACCTTGTTACTAGTTGTGACCCAAAAAAGTGCTTTCAGAGGTTCGATGGCACTGGCAGTCTGAAAAAGATGTTTGGAAACGATGAGGGTCCATATAAACCACCAACATTGGGGTGCGAGTGCAATCTATTTGACGCCATTGTATATTTGTAAAGTATTGCAAACATACAGCATCATACAGCAGTGTTGTGTTGTCCGCCATCCTGTTCAAGACCTTCTCAGGCTGTACCGGCAACCCTCAGCTCTGCATTCACACCATTTCTTAGAGACTAGGACCCCCTAAGAGGTTTCCATTGATAGCTCCTTAGAGGTGATTCGGGGTGTCCATGAACCACTCTTTGTGGATCCTGGTCTATCTGACGCAGACGCATATTTGCATTGGGGTTTGGGAAGTCAATGTAGGCAGTCCCATGGAATCGACCAGTCCCGCGACGTCCCAGCGGCGACCCGTCAGTCCAAGCAATGGACACCACAGTTGAGCCGTGACCTCTAGTTCGGCATCGTTAGGATCCCCAAATCCCTGATGCTACATCTACACCTGCTTCGTCTCAGTTTGTTCTTTAGGAATTGGGTATAAGATGGTAGAGATCTACCTGTTTGGACCTCGGATTTTCTGAGTACGGAGGGTGCGGGTACGTCCAGACTCGATCTGTGCACGACCGAAACTCGATCTCCGGACCTGCACAGGTCCAGCACCAACTTCATCGTGAAAGGCGGCGCGTGGCAGTGATCAATCAGAAATCCGAACCAAACATGGCCCTGATGTCTTTTTTAGGAGCTCACAACGTGTATTGTGTGTGTTGCGTGTGTGTGGGTGTGTTTGTGTGTTTTGTGTTTTGTGTGTGCGGGTTTTGAAACCAGGTACAAGGTTTGTCATGTACCTTGTGGGAGTTGCGCACAACACCAAGTGTATTGGACATCTTTGAGACATGTTGTCCAGAATTCATCAGGAGGGTTAAAGCTCTTTCAGTGATAAGCTCATTGAGGCAATCACAGGACTGGATGCAGCCCAATTTCACAAGTGAGATGCGGAAAACTTCGAGATGCTCAATATTGAGGCCAAGAATGTTCGAGAAATTTATTACCACCGAACAAAAGGATTCTCTTCAAGGCAGATATGCTGCTTGCAATGCTCCGCAGTTTCTTTCCGGTGATGACAATCGGAGATGGAAGTGAGAACACACGACCAATCACATACCCAACATCAATGGCAGGGAGAGTGACAATTTCGTCACAAACGCTTGGTTTCGACAGACCGAGTTTGAGGTGAAACCTATCTACTACGATGCCACGACCATCCATCCATCCATCCATCCATCCATCCAACGAAGCGGCCACAGTACATGGATATCACGGCTGATCACCGTGACGTACCTGCACAATTTGCGAATGTTGATAGCTACGTCCCACTTTACCTTCAGGCTGTTTGGGTGATACTCCCGGGTCGGCAGACATGCATTCGTCGCTTTCGTCGCGCCGTTGTGAGAATTTGATACTTTCGACTCTGCATTTGCATTTGTGAACTTGAAGCCTTAACGATTGGAACTCCTGCACTTCTTTTGTGACCTGGACTTCAGGATGGTCAGAACCCCTTACATGTTAAACTCAGGCCCCTTTTTTTCACTTGGGCCTTTGGGGAGGTGGCGCATTCAACTCGTACGCATCATTTTCTGAGTGCAGTGTGTGTGTGTGTGTGTCAACCCCTGTCCCAAAGGGTCCCACACCACGGCCGACTTTCTTGTACAAAATGTGCTACCATGATCCTAGAACCTTAAAGAGCAGGGGAGTGGACCCTGGAGCATGCCTGCAGAGCTCCACTTAACAAAGCTCTCTGCAGTGTCCTTAGGATATCAGTAGAGACATCCAGTGACGTACCTGCACAGAGGATGCGATTGATGTAAGCAATGTTACTTTTGACTTGCCACCTTACCGTTGTGCACAGGGCCATTTTATCAGGTGAGTTCGACAGGTTGTAAAGTCGAGTTCGTCAATTCAGTTTCTGAATTTGTGCTCTTCCGAGCTCTATTCTAAGCATTTGAGGGAGGAAAAACATTCTGTACAACTTGTGTGCAAGTCGTGTAAGGCATGTAATTACATGCAATGAAAGCTCTTCAGTTGCCTTCCTGGCTGGCTGCTAATGACCACCAAGATTGAGGATTTGAACAGCAACATCAGAAGCCAAACAATCACACAGCAAACCTAAAGTTCGGTCGATGTTGCAAAGGTCTTCTCTTCTGCGTTCACAGGCAGATACCAGGGGTATAATCTGAGTAACCCTTTGAGTTCTTTTTCATACGGATCAATGTTTGGGGTTCGGTTTCCAAACAAAATGGGGTCCACCACCATATGGCCGTGGATCAAAGCCAGACCCCTGATCACTGCTAGGTTGACCTCCCCAGCTTGGTTTTGATTAGGGTTCATTTCCTGTGGGAGAACCCCCTTTTGGTGAATATGTTTAACCCCTGTTCCTTCAGTAAATCCAATTCAAATTCCATTCTGTTAATTTTTGCTGGTCAACCAGCTGTACCTACGAAACGCAGAGATCTCGCGATCGGGTCCCACGTGTGGTTTTGGACTTGGGGCCGCCAACGGAGGTTCGATGGCGGCACCCCGTTCGATGCCCTGAACAGATGGAAGTCCATATCACCTAGGACTTAGGATTGTCGCATCTACTTTGAAATCATGTTTTTTTTTAATGTGGGTGATGCATGGTGTCATCATGTCGTTTGACATATTCATCGCGTTCATCTTCCAAACTCAGTTCCCCACTGAGCTTCCGGTGCCAGGAAGCTCTGACCTGGATGTCTCCAGAGCCAGGGAGATCAAACAGGTGGCACAGGCAGGTGGCACAGGTGGACAGGCGGTGGCAGGTGTCAGGCATTGGGGGAATGTTGGGAATGTTGGGTGTTCTATTTGTGTTTTTGTTGTTTTGTTAATTGTGTGTGTATGTGTTTCTAGTTGTTGGAATTATCAACACATATAACTTAATTCAATACTTGTATGATAAAGATGCGCTTAAGATGGTTTTCACTTGTGGGTTGTGGACGTGGGTATTCAAGAGACCCGCCGATTCACCAAGCCTCAATTTCTGTCAACAAATTTCACTTACTACCTAAACAAGCAGGACCCGACAAAGCACCGCCCACATCACAGACCAACTCATGCCCTACAATTGTCTTTTGCATTTATTAAGAGTAGTGTGTGTGTGTATGACCACGTCCAGCAAAATGAGGTCATTGACCTGTAGGGACTATGGAATGCTGGGCTGGCTGCAGCAAGTACAGAAGCTCACTGGGATTCGCGGGGCATGGCTCCTGTGAAATCTCGATCAATCTGTGTTTGTTCAATCCAGTCAAGTCTAAATTAGTGCAATGTAGACTCTTGATTCTTGATGGATAACAATTCTATGAACAGCTTTTTACATTCCAACTTTTTTGTTAATTGCCAGGAGTCTCATTGAGTTGGGTGGCAAGTGTTGTCCTATCCAGGGGCTGTGCATGTGACAGAGGCACCCCATATATCCTCCGTTCGGAACCAGCACGTTCTCTCTTGTGACTCCTGGTGGGCTGCTTTCGCCGCTTGATGACTCGATCCAATTTGGGGTGCATTTGACCCAACATCGGGTGTTTCATCTCTTTTTGGGCTCCAAACCAGACCAACTCTCTCGAGAGTTTACCCACTGGCCTGCCAGGGCTCGCTGTCTGGCAGTGACCCACTCTTGGTCAAAGAGTTGGAGTGAAGCAGCAGAGGAGCAACGTTTTCATGCCTTCTCCCCCAGTGATTCGGTTTTTGGTTGGGACGTCCTTCCCATGGCGTGGCGGGCGAAAGACGGCGTTCGGCTCGGGGTTCGCGCAACCGCGGTGCGGAGCGGTGGGTGTGATCGTGACAAGTTCTGAGACGGTCGAACAGAGAGTGTCGAGTCACGTCCCAAACACGACCCGTCTGGGACTGCCATCTTTCCCTACATTGGGGTGATCGATTTCCAGGGGTCAATGGAGGCATGCCATACATGGAGTGTTTGGGTATCCCTATAATATCCATTGCGACATATTGCGACCCTTTGAGAGGTAGGTGCACTTGGAGACACGAAGTGTAGGCGCCATTGTTGGGTCCAGGCGTAGCTTCTGATGAAGGTGGCAGTGAATGCTAAGGGATGTACAAGCGATCAAACGAATACTTCGGGGTCCATCAAGATCATCAAGACTCCCATGTTAAGAGTCTTGGCAGTCAAAACTTAATCTATCTTACCTCCCATACCCAGACCTTCCATGCAACCGGCCTGACCTATCAATTGGGGGTGACCGCCTCGGACCGGTCGGTCCAGTTCGGTCAGTGGCCTGGTAGCCAGGTACCAGCAGCCCTCAGTTCAGTTCCCCATGAAAACATTAAAGGTGTTCACATCTTTAAAACTTAAAGACCTTGTTGTTTGCTAGGGAGAACGAGGTGTTGGATGGTTTTTGATGGTTTCTGGGACCCTGGGGCCGAATAGAATGAATACTGCATACCATTGATAATACCGTAGTTCTTCGACCCACACGACCCTTCTCGGATGGTTTGTAACTGGAGACCAGGCCGATGGTTTGCATGGAGGACATGCGGTGTTCCGGGATTCACAAGAGAGAACGTGCCGGTTCCGAACGGAGGGTATTTAGGTATAACCTATCATCAGATCCACAGCCCCGGGATGGGACGAGCCTCTTACCACCCAACTCGACTCCTGGTGGAGGCCATGGCTCGTTCGGGGGAGGCCATCGGCTATATTTGGTTCCTTTTGCTATTCGGTTCCTGTAAACACCACCCCGTTGGTGACTCTTGCGGGTGGTCTTGCGCCACCAGCTATGCTTCTCTCGGCAGGAGAGCGGGAAGCAATCACTCTCTGATCCCCGCGTTGGGACAGCTCAGCGCTGCGCGTCTTTCAGCTCAGCGCTGCGCCATGATTTGAAAGACGTCTCCCCGATTTCGCACAAGCGAAAGGACCTATCGGACAAGCTAATCGGACCCTCAGATGTTTTGCTCCTGGTCGACGACCCTGCGACGGTGAACAGAGGGCTAGTTCATTTTAGGCCAAGGCCCGGTTGACCTCATGATTTTCAGAAGATGCCGAGGGAAGAACACCTTGAACTGATATGGTTTGTCGACGGTGTTTTTCAGGGTTTCAGGGTCATATGTCAAAGTGTAAAACACCGATCTTGAAGATAAGCTTGGATTCTTGGGGCTTGGGAATGCGACTCAAAGCTGAAAGAGCTACCCATCCATCCGAAGCGACCTGCGACAAAGGGGGAGTCTCTTTCCAGATGCGCTCCTTTCAGGATCATCCACTGTTTGCAACAGCCGGGGTCGGGAGTCACAAGCTCCTGATCTGGGCGCAGACGAAGCTCTTTCTATCCTATTCGGCCACCCCAGCCCCCGGGGACAACTAAGGGTCAGCAAGAAGAGACACATGGCTGTGGGTCTTGACACTGGGGTACCTTGGTTTGTTCTCATAGAACATAAACGGAGAAACGAGTTGGAGGTCAACCTAGACTGGTTCGGGGTTCATGAACATCAAATATAGGGAAAGCAAGGGGTCGCCACACCCAGACATAGCTGCGCCGTAGGGCTAATGAGTGCGGGGTCGCCACTGCTGAAACGGCCGACACAGGCCTCCTGTGAAGTGAAATGGCCTCCTGGGAAGTGAATCATCTAAAATCACTAAAAGATACTCAAAGACACATGTGGCTCACCTGTTTTTCTTCCATTCTTCTTGGACAGGGTGCTATTACATCCCTACGCACGTCCAGTGTGTGACCTAGATCCAAACCAGGCCCAACTTACATCCTTCTTCGTAGTGTTTTTGTATGACTACATCCAGACCCAATGATTCCAGGCTGACCTGTAGGGTATTGTTGATTGCGATGCTGTGCTTCGGTGCTTCCCCAACTACACGATGGTCAGATGGTTTGAGGTCTTTTGAAACAAAAGATGCTTGATTGGTTCAACAGCCAATGAACTGCTGTGCTTTCAACAACCACACAATGACAATCGGTGAACGCATGTTTCTTTCTCAGCCACCACCAGGTGCCTTCTGAGGTTTTCTTTCATCGGGTGCAGGTGAAACAAGCTGAAAGAGATTGAAAGAGTCACCCATGCAATTGGCTCAACAAGCTGGGAATCTTGAGACACCCGATGCAAAAGCGGAGCTTTTCTGCGTGTATGGGTCCAGCCGGCAGGATCCGGCCCCGAATTCGGACGGCATGTGAAGGCGAACATGGCCCGGGATGGCAGTTAGCTTGATTTTAATTCTATTATATTGATTTCTATTGAATTCTTGTTTCTATTAGCTTCTTGCTCCGTTCGTAGCGATGCCAGGAGCCCCTTACTCATAGCGTCCGGTCGCTCCTATCCATAGAAAGGCCCAACATCACGCCCGGCGGCCCGGGATGGCCCAAGGGTCCTCGGGGGTTAGACTTTCACCGATCGATCCTACGTCGAGGATTCGACTGGAGCGCCCTTTCGATGCGATTCTGCTGGGAGTATCCAGTATCCAAATCCCATGGACAATTCCCATTGTGTATATGGAAGGGCTGAAATCAACGCACCAATATCTTCGAAGTACGCCAGCTCGTCCTAGCCCACCAGCTCATGGCAGTCCCGATAGCGATGAGTTGGGGGGCGACAGCACCGTCGTGGCATCTTCACACCTTTCTTCGACTTCTGAGAGCCGGGTGAAGGAGAGCAACGAAGAACGGGAGAGCCTTCAGTCTGCTGACCGCGCTGACGGCGCCCCACATGAAAAATTATGAAACATCGAGATGTATGACCCAGACACTCCATGGGACTGCCATATATGCCTACATTGACCCCCAAAACCACCCCTGGCCTGATCGGCAGTCCTATGGCAGTCCCAGACAGGTCGTGTCTGGGTGATGTATCATGTGTTCGCATCATGCGTTCGCTCCAGGTACTCATCCTAGGCCAGGATCACTTCATCCCCCTCAACACGTCCGTCCTGAGCTCTATAGATGTGCCTAAGAATCCGAACATGCCGGCCAAGATCGTTCACGGCCACGGTCGTATTTGCGTTCCTTCGGACACCGCGAAGGGTTTCCGCTGGCCGCGGAGCCCAACAAAAACATCGCTGCGCCCCGATTGGGCGAGTCGGTGTTTTTTTCATGGAGCAACGGCTCCGTCAAGGAGTCTGGACGGCAGACGGGTCGCGCGCGAGCCAGGTCGCGGGTAGATGCCAGGAACCAGTGTCCCCGGTTCGGCTGTGAGTTGTTTTTTTTGGTTGAATCAAATTTGAGTCCTATGGATGATCGAAGAGGTTTTTCTTTCTGTTCGGGTTGATGCAGCTAGGTTCGAGATCTGTGTCTCATGGTAACCATTGGAGGTTCGTACTTCTGGAGAAGGTGGTATCCACCTGCATATAGAAGGTCTACCAAAACTGGTTGTGGGATTGGGCACGGTAGGCACAGATCGACTCAATTGGGTGTTATTTTTGTTTGGGCTGTCTGTTGTGTTTGGTTTTTTATCCATATTCATTTGGTGGTGGTTTCTTTGGTCTTAAGATGTCTTAAGGAAAAACCCTCATACAACCGAGTTAGCGGTCCTATACTTATGATATCATATAAAGATAGTCATAAAGATATATATGATATATACCAGGACCTTCCAAGTTCGGTCACCACCTGCGACTTGAAAAAGTCTACAAAAGCCTCAAGCCTTCGGAGACCTGTTGGTTTCGGTGCTGGTATAAAAGTAGGACAAGTTCTTTGATGAGTGGCTTCCATTTTTCAGTCGCCTCCCGTCGACTCACCGGACTGCCGCGGAAACGGTTGGCATCACGTCTCACCGATTCGCGTCCGCGTCACGGCGGGACGCGAAAAAGCGGCACGCCGGTCGTGTCATCCAAGAGATCCATGCGAGGTTTTGAGGTGGGGGTGTCCACTGGAAGAATGATGAGAATGGAACTATGATCAAGTGGCTGTGTGGGTTGTCTTGGCTTCAGGATCTTCACTTGGTCGAGGGATTCCAAAAGGTGGTGTAAGGGATTCCAAATCAAAGACATTCCCTGTATGGACCTACATTAACCTTGTTTTCAAGCATCCTAAATAATATGTATGTAATAATATGTATACTACTATGATGCCAGTCCCAGACAGGTGGTGTTTGATAAGTCTGTTTGGAGGCAATTGCACCACACCTTTCTCGTTTGCGGGGCCCAAAAGTTTGGTGAAAAAATATGAACTTTGTATAGCAAAGAATATTAATAGTAACACAAATGCCACAGATTGACAGAAAATACAACAATCTGGAGAAAAAAACAAGTCATTTGGTCTGAATACTATAATCGTTATAATGGCATCTAAAGATGTGTGTTCTGGTCGTTTGTGAGTAAGCAATCCCAAATATACATTATTGCTGAATGTGAACACATCATATACTCAACAAACCGTCAGTAAAAGGATACAAATGGACACCACAATTCACTATTATTGGAACCCAAAGGTCCGAATAATACAAATTGTATAATATTGTGTATAATAAGACGTAATGTTGTGTATAATACAGTGTATCATTGTATAATATTGTGAGGGCATTGAATCATTTTGGATGGCATCGGTCACAGATCGGTTTATTTGGTTTGGATTCCTTTGATATCTATCCAAATTATCATTGTTTGTCAAATTATTATTGCTGCTTCTGTTGTTACCATTCATATTGTTATTGGCTGTGCTTTTGAATATCATACCAAATTGG